TGAGATCCACTCACTGGGATCTACTTCACTCAAACTTGTCCTTTCCTTCAGATCTGTATCATCATGGGGCACTACTTCCAAGTTATCACCGTTGAATAACTAAGTTCCTCAATATTCCATCCGTTCTATGGCCGACGATAGCTTATCCTTCTGGTTAATTGTACACAGTACACAGTGATAGTATTAATGTTAGAGAACATACTCTGGAACGACCTCACCATGGAAGGTGGAAACGTCAGTCTGGTGAAAACACTACTGCAATTGACGTCAGAACGCACAGACGCACAGACGCACAGACGCGAAGGATGACATCAGTGCCACAGCACGACGAATCTCTCGAACAGACAACTTCAACTTTTCAATCTACCATTTCACTATGTCTGGCGAAGTTTCTGATAAGCAAGGCAACCCAATCGATGTCGGCGATGAAGTTGTCACGAAGATGCGAGGCGGAAAACGCCAAGGTGTGGTGTGTATCCATTTATCCCTCCGCGACACCATTTGAAGCTGACAAGAGTCCTGGAAAACGCCAAGGTGTGGTGTGTATCCATTTATCCCTCCGCGACACCATTTGAAGCTGACAAGAGTCCTGGAAGGCTGAAGATATTGTGATGTCTGAAGAAGAGGCAAAGGAGAAGGGTGTCAAACACCCACCTAAGGTAAAATGCCTTGGTTCATCTCTGCTTTCTCCATACCACACTTAGCGACCAACTGACTTTCTCCAGGTTTTGTTTACAGACCAGCATGGTCATCATGTTGCGCATAATCCTGAGGCTTTGACAAATCTGGATAAGTCGAAGGAGTAATCAGGTTGATGGAATAGGTCCCAAAAACATCAAGTAATTTCGCATGTATATTACGAGAAAACTGAGAGAAACTCTCAATGCTTTCAACGTTTGAGGCTGGCTGCTCAATTCGTGGTTGGCATGCCAAGTGAATATCGGACGTGAGGCCCAAGGAGTCCTAAAAATTCCTAGATTTCGAATTTGCCTCAGCAGGTTTAACTCCAGGTTCCGGATGTCGGTCTCTCAATGCTCCGATGACTATCTAAGTGTGTTAGATGGGCACGAAGTGAAGAAACCAGATTCCATACACGCGCAAGAATCAGATTCAAAAATCCAAAATCTACAGCAGCTAGCAGGCCCAAGGATGCTCTTAAGAAATTTCAAATACTTATTGTTTCATCGGGCTTTACGCCTCGAGGCACCTCGCAGCCGTGCGCTACAAAGTCGTACGTGTGCATGTAGTATACATATAACTTGCGCTGCGGGGCATTTATCGCAACTACTTCTCCTCAATAGGCCTTGTCGTATACGGTTTTACGGGTGTACACAGCCGTCCTGTAATTGTACCGTAGACCTAAAAAATCTGTACTACCTACTGTTTATAACCGCTACACTTCGGAAATGGAAATGGAAAGTAGCGCTATGAGCCGCTGAGCGCTTAGTAGTCATGTAGCTAGTAGATTTTTTTCTTCCGTAGAGGGCCATTGTTTTGTACGTCTTCTGGTACCCGCTCCCTCTGAAATATCTACAGCCAACTGAATACGTTTCCGCTTTTGAGTACTTTTAGTACTCTGCGGTGCATCGTTTCTGCGAAGATAACGCTTATCTCTCAGCATTGTAAAACCAGTTCAATTCGGGAATCGGCACGCGCCACTTCATCTGCAATCATACATTCCTAGTTCAAGTTGATCTTTTCCACCCATGGCCTATTACGGTCGTGATCCAACTGTATCTGTTACCACCATGACGGACACTAATAGCTACTCTGAAGATGACAAGGAACTGGTGGCCATGGGCTACGTTCCCTCGTTCAAGAGAGAGTTCTCCAACCTCGCCACGGTACGTACTACTTCAAGTCGAAATGACGATGTAATAAACAATGGTATAGATTAGTTTCGCATTTAGTATCATGGTTCGTCTCAGACGGAATCCTCCTTATCCTCAAACTAACGTCTAGTGAAGGGTCTGTGCTCAAGTATTGCCGTGCGTCGTCGTTTTTCTCCATTGCTTTCGATAACTAATATTTGATAAAGACGACCTTCAATACCCCACTCTTAACAGGAGGACCTGCTTCTGTGAGTGCAGCCTGATCTCTGGATTCATAGCTTTCTCACTCTGCTGGTACTTAGGTGGTCTGGTGTTGGGGTCTCGGGGCTTGCATGTGCCTTACGCTTGGCTCAAGTATTGCCGAGATTGTCAGTGCTTATCCGACTTCTGGGTGAGTTTACTATGATATCTGCTTCAACGTCGTATATCTTACTGGGTTCAACAGTGGATTGTGAGTTTACGATGATATCTGCTCCAACGCCACATACCTTACTCGGTTCAACATAGATATACTGCTTCTGCTCGACTTACCCCCAAGAAGTATCGTGCCCGAGTAAGAGCACTAGCTGTTCATCAAGCCGAGATTATTGACAGGAGTCCTTGCAGGTCGGCTGGTTAGTTGGCTGGCTGAATATCTTGGGTGCGGAGCGTTCTTATTCCTGTGTAACATACGTACTTACTCCGATATCTAGGCCAAATCGCCGGAGTTTCCTCGACCGAGTTTGGTCTGGCTAATATGATCTGGGCCGCAGTGGTTATAGGCAAAGTAGGCGTTTCCAGTGTCTTTTAGTTCTCGCACTGATTTCTTGCCTAGGACGGTAATTACGAAGTGACTCAGGTTTGAATTGTTCCTTACTTCATAATTGTGGAAGTAACGCTTCTGTAGGCGAAAACTGTATGGCTATTTGTGGTCCTACTCATAGTCCATGGATCTCTGGTTTGTCCTCCTTTACATTTTCACTGTGAAATTTATCTGAAGCATCTGCAGAACTGCTTGGGAACGCGTATGCTCGCGCGCATGTCCTCAAGCTTCGTTTTCGTGAACCTAGGTCGGTTTTCAGAGAAAAGATAATGCCTGAAAAAAGCTGAAATATGTGACTTGTAAATTCAGGCGCAACTATCTGTGAGTTCGCATGCTTGGTCGGTCCTCATATGGGCTCATTTTCGTAGTGATTATTATTGTCCTCCTTGCTACAACACCTCGCTCTGAGATGCATGCAGCTGGCTATGTATTTGGGAGCCAAGGTCTTGTTAACCAAACTGGCGGGTGGAATAATGGGCTTGCTTTCGTTTTTGGTTTACTGAGCGTGCAGTGGACGGTAAGCTGGTCTGCTATTCCGAGTTAATCGTATCTCACTTTTTAACAGATGACGGTAAGCTTCCCGCATTGTTATTCTCTATGAATATCTCACAGAATTATTTTGCTTGAAGGACTACGATGTGAGTTTCACAGCGAACGTCAACAGTGAAGAGATGCTAAAATGACTGCTTACAGGCTACCGCGCATATCTGGTATGTTTTGCAACACTATTGGGCTATTTGGTTAACTTGTCGGTGTTCATAGTGAGGAAGTGAAACGGGCGGCTTATGCAGGTTTGTGTCCTGTCTTAGGTCGAGTATGTCAGTTGCTGATAAGACTCGCAGCACCCTCTGCTATCTTTATTGCCGGTATGCAATGCCAAGAACCACATTGAATGCTCATCCTGACTGATGCCGCGCCCCTGCAGTCATAGGTACTGGCGTGTTGGGCTGGCTGCTCAACATGTGGGTGATATGCTTTTTCCTATCGAATATACATATCTGATGTAGATTCCTTAGTGTGCTGGTCTTGTGCTCTGGTCCTCTGTGAGCTCTCTTTTGCTGCTGATTTTGTCAAATATACTGGACGTAGATTAGTGCCGATCTTCCTGGGGCTTCCGACTCTGCTTTCTTACAGGCAAGTTTTTTTTTCATTGATTCCACTGAAGATACACCTCTTATGTATCCTTGTTAGATTATGTTCCTCAGGATGGGAAAAGCTGGTTGCCTTATACTATGGGTGACGTTGCTTTTTGTGGCAATTGCATCCGCCGCTAACAGACTTCCTCCAATCAGGTTTTCGTATGTTTCACTGCGTTCTTTGTCGTTCAGACAGCTCTCCAGGCCGTCTCTCGTACGGTTTACGCATTCAGTCGCGACCATGGTCATGCTTTCAGTTATGCACGGTGTCAGCACACGCTCTGATCTTTTTTTTTCCATAGGTCTTCCTGACGGAGGTTATTTTGGTTACAACTCAAAGATCACTCAAACCCCACTTAGAGCAATCGTTTTATGTACGGTTGTAAGCATTGGTCCTGGTCTTCTCGACCTGGCCAGTCCTATTGCCGCCACCGCCATCTTTGCTCTCTGTGCCATTTCATTGGATTTGAGCTACATCATACCCATATTTTTGCGACGGGTTTTCCAGAACCACCCCGAGGTGATGTTCAAACCGGGTCCTTTCTACATGGGAGATGGTATTCTCGGATGGGCAGGTACATTCACTAAAACTTCTCAACCTGCAGGAAACTTCTAACGATGTGACAGCAAACGTCAACTGTATCATCTGGACGTTATTCGTCTGTGTTATCTTCTCATTCCCTACTACACTCCCAGTTACGCCGCAAACTATGAATTACGCATCTGTAAGTGCTCTAATGAACAAAGTGTGTTTGGGGAACGCGTCTTGACCATGGTGTGCAGGTAATAACCGTTGGAGTCATGGTACTTGCTTTGTGAGTGCTTGCATGTATGGGTCACCGATGGAAATACTGATGTGTGGTTTTTTGCACAGTGCATGGTACATTGTCGATGGACACAGGCATTACCATGGTCCTCAATCAAACCTTCACCAGCTTAAGGAGAGGGAAGAAGAGGAGGAGAAGGCAGCAGAATTGGGCATATCTTCCGAGGATCACAAAGAGCCTGTTTAAGAACGCGGTAAAAAAAAAGGTGGAGACAGTCTAACGATTGAACATGTTTTGTATATGTCTATATATGTATGTACGGATGATCTACAATGACTTGCACAACATACGAGTGTCTAAGAAAGTGTGTACTGTACGGATAAACGATGAGTTGCGCGTGAGCATTAGGCTGCATTAGGTCTGGTTTGATAACTACAATATATTTACAACACTCAGAAAGCACGGGCGTATGGTCTAGAGGTATGATACCTGCTTTGGGAATGAAGAGTTTCGACATGTCTCATTGCAGGGGGTCTTCGGTTCGAATCCGGATTCGCCCCGTTTTTGCGTAACGGTCCTCTTTCCTTTCTTTCTTTCTTTTTTTCCTGCTGTCCAACTTTCAATCTGGTTTAGCACAAAGCGCAGTTTCCATGCAATTGGTAAATACATGTAGAGCTACATTTGAGCAGAAAAGGTTGTACGTAGCTTGGTATTGTAACGGAGTGAGGTGGGAGGGGAAGGATGAGTAGGGCGAAAGTGATTTTGGCTAGGGAATACAATGAAACGTGAAAAACAGCAGATGGAGAAGGAGCACATGTATGTATGTATGTATCGTAAAGAGAGAGAAGCATAGATACTCAATATCGTACGGGGAGTAAGTTAGTTTGTTAAATAAACGCAAAAAAGTCCAGGAGCAGCTTGACATATGTATAACAGAACTCGAAGCGACGAAGAGACAGGCATATATGTAAGAAGGGCTTTACAAAGCGATATATAATAAATCGTAAAGAAAAAAAGCGTAAAGAACAAGAAAGGACAACATCCTGAGGAGAGAGAACGACCGTCGTAACTTACTCGTCCTCCCATTCAGGAGCTCTCATACCATTTGCCTTCAAAACATCCTCCAAAACGCTACACCGCGTTCTCCATTTATCCCTGTCATCCTCTCAACTCTTTGTTCTCAGCTTCCAAGTTGAGCTGGTGCTCCAACTTGCGCCTCCTGCTTTTCCTGGCCGCGATGGTGTTCTGCCTGCGCCTCCACGCGATGTGCTCAATTTCCGTGGCATTGGGACCTGGAGGAGCTTCCTCCGTGAGCTCATCCTGCTCCTGCGCTTGGCTAAAGGCTTGAGAGTGGCTGCGCTTCTGTGCATGAAGTGGATTATCCTTGCGCGAGGTGGAAGAAGGCAGAACGTAGTTCCGGGTTTGGGTAGGCGCATCGAGAGGAACCATAGAGGCTGGAGTGAGGTCTCTACGAGTTCCCGTTGCGGTTCCAGATGGCGGTCGTGATTTATTACGACCACGATTGCTGTAGGAACGGTTGAGTTGGACGTCGCCTGACCTGGGAACACGAGCAGAAGAATACAAGGACGGTGCGGGGCGGATGGCCGGAGAGTGAACAGGTTGAGTGAGGGGAGAATGGAAGTCCTCAAGAGCAGGAGTGCTGGGAGAGAAGGAGTATAGCTTGGCAGAGTTCAATACGTCCAATTCTGCAGGCGGGGGTTCCTTCGCCGCTGTCTCGGACTGGTAGTACGACAGGCTAGAATCATTGAACAATGGTGCTTCACCGATCATCCAACCAGAGTTGGGATCGACAATGCTGTGGTCAAAGTCATCGATCTGGTCCATGATAGGTGTGTTGAGATCAGATATGAAGGGAGAGTCATCCATGGGTCGAAGAATTGAAATCTCCATATGGTGTATCGTACGGGGAAGTGAGGTATTCTCCAAAACTATGCGACATCTTGAAGTCGGGCGAAGCTGAAAGTGGATCAATGGTTTGAAAGCGAGTTCGCCACGGGGACAATTTACCTTTAATGATATCGATAAGCGGCTGCAAGTCCGAGTCGGCTGACGGTGCGGTGGGCATCGAATCTGCGGGACGTTGGAAAAGAAGTGAAGACGAATCTGGCATGGTAGTAGTAGGATTCGTCGGACGGAGTAGTTGATAACATGTTCAAGTAGTTCTCCCTCATTGCTTGGAAGTCGAAGCCTGGAGGAGAGAGAGACTGGGAGGATGGAGGAATTGGAGGAGCGCGTGCTGTAGCTCTAGGCGGTTTGGGGAGCGACTGAGGAATCCCGTAATGTGCGGCCAGTTCAAACGGTCTCGTTGAAGGAGAGCCGTTGGATGCGGCGTTGTGAGAATTGCTCATACGCTCAGAAGTTTGTCCATAAGTGCGATTAGCCAATGACGGATCGAAAGTAGCAGCCGAAGTATTCACAGGTGCATGAACATCTTGGGTCGACTGGTAAAAGTAACTCGGGTAAGCTGAAGACGAAATTTCGACGAAAGGATGTGGGAAGAAGTCTTTAGTTGGATGGCAGCAGACTGAGCAGTCTGTGGGGTCTACAAAAGCGGGGAAAGAATCAGTTTCAGTCTTTATCGAGCTCTGGTAACTACGCAATCGGATCTTTCATTGTCCACAGCAAAAAGAAGAAAAAAGGATCCCAAACTTGGATTAAAACTGAAATCCAGACTGAAATCCAGGATGAAAGCTGAATGGAGACTCACGATTTCGATGTCAAATGGCTCAGAACAGTACAAAAAACACCTTGAACGACGACGCTGGTGAAAGTTGGGGAGAAAGGCTTAGAGAGCTTTTGGCGCCCATGAGTGAGCAACGCGTGGCTGACTGACACAGCATTGGCTCTGAGTCACAGCCTTTTCGGTAGCGAGCGCTCCGCTCTTCGAAGCGCTCAGAGCTGTTACTATTCGACTGTTCGTACGTGTCCATTTGCCATTAGTCGCGTCCTTTCAAAAGGTGTACCAGGAGTTGGGATACGGGGACACGGGGATGATTCAGAATGCTGCGAACGCTCGGCGTTTCTATACAGGGTAATACACTTCCATTCTTCATAGCCTTGAGCTCATAAATCAAAGTTGAGCGATCAGCACTCAATTGCACAACGCTGTAGAGGACTGATATGGAACCAAGTTCTCTACCCCAAAATGTACTATTCAAATACGGGGACCCGCAGCCCAAGTAGTCCACCCAAGCCACCCATTCGTAGCAATAGACGCGCCGCAGGAATCGTTGTCCGAATGTCCTCGTATTGATTATTGAACTACCACGCAGCGCTTCCGCAGTACCGTACCGGCTTAACATCGGACGAAAAATAATATCAATCACACCCGGTTTCTCTTTCCTTCCAGTTTTTCTTACTGTATTTATCCAATTTGTCGCTCAGTTTTTATGATCAGTTTTATAAAAGTAAAATACTTGATATCAAACTTGCTAAACCTCCTTTATTGCAACTACTATGCCAAAGTCAAAGGCATCCGCCATCGTGGCTGTGGCACGTCCGACACCATAAGTTTACGGTCTGCACAGCTCGGAATATCGTCTTGTATATAACGTAGTTTTTGGCGCGACCGAGAATGCACCGATAAGAGCAGACCCTCTGGGTCATACTTGTCTTTGAAGCCGCGCTCTCTGGTAGTAGTGGAATCAGTTAAATGAAAACAAAATAAATGAAAACAAAACGGAAACTCGTAGGAAGAAAAAAGAACTAGACTAAAACTAACCGGTATTTCCGCAACCCTTTTTCGACTCGCAGCGTTGGTGTTTGGTAGTTACGAATGTAGATCCCATTCGAGGTCAAGGTAGGCCACAAACAATGGATATGTTTCCCATTCCAAAAGTTCATCACGATAGTCGAATGGTATGTGAGTATGAGCTCTGCAGGATAGGAAATCGACCTTGGATAAAGGATTGTCAAGTCGATACCAATTCGCCCAGCTTCGGGGTGCTCAAATCTCTCAATCTGGAAGAGGATGTTTTGATTCAAGCTATCATCATCATTGGGATAGAAGTGTTGCGGAGCTTGCGATCGTTCATCGTCGCGAACAAATTGGCACTGTGCGAGGAACATTTTTATTCGGGCAGAGTGGACTTCGTCAACGATGATGTCCAGATCGCCCGGCTTCCAATCTCCAAGGCAAAGAAGGGATAGGGCGAAAGATCCTCCAATGATAGCACCAGTACTCTGCAACAAAGCCTCAAACTCTGCAAGGTTTTGTGGAGCGTCTCCAAATGCACGGGCTAGCCCTTTACGAAGCCTCCGAGCGCCGATGTGAGCTAGAGCAGCATAAAAGTGTTTACAGGTAGCCCGCAGGGAGCGTATGTCAAACAAGTCAAGAGTCTCGCATATCATGCAGAGTAATTCTCGGATATGCAGAACCTTGATGAGTCCGCTGACGTCCGGACGGAAGACAATCGTATGCGTCCATTCGATTGTGACCGTCATTGCATAGTTTGTGTGATGGAAGATATTGTGATACAATTTCAGAATCCTTAAAAGATTTCGACTATCTCCGATGTCACCTCCGCGAACTGGATCAGAGAGGACTATAACTATTTAAAAAGACATGTTAAAGTTAATCAATATGAGCATCGAACAACAACAATCACCTGTAGCTTTACGCTCTGGAGTGAGCGTGGCTTGGTCAAACTGTGCGATTACATGGGTTTCAGGTTCGAAGCCTTTTGCAATGACCTCTTGCCTGGGCTCTTCAAGACAGAGTGTTCCAGAAAGCGACCAAGATTGTTCGCGTGGAGAATATTCTGAGCCAGAACGTGGCTTTATGCTGATGATCATGAGCGGAATATGCGCTCGATAATTTTCTGGTTTGAACGGTGCAACCGAGGGAGATGTTATAGCTGTGAAATAAAAGGCTCAGCTTCAACTTCAAAGGGTACGATTCTATACACATACCATATATAACCTCAAGCTGTCTCTCTGCATCTTTCCAATGCTTCACGACACCCAGATATCCACGGTCACGACATTCGACTGGTATTGCATCACCGGAAAGGCCAAAATCGGAGAATCTTGCGAGTTCGAGCGGCTGCGCATCAGGCGCGACTTCGTGTCCTTCTCCTTTCATCTGAACGCCCCAGAGAGCGATGGAATTCGCAAGTTCTGCTGGAGTGGCGTTCACCCAAGATTTGAGTTTGAAGCAACCCTGAATTTAGCAAGTTAGAATATTCATTTGAAGGACACAGAAGTATCTTTTACATTATTCGTGTATTGACCCATTTTACTGAAGAACAAGACACTAGGATCGATGTTGAAATAATCATTAGTCGGATTGTTGAGAGTCATGATCTGCCCAGTATCAGCATCAGGAGCATTCGTACAGTGGGGACGACCTACTGGGATCAGATTGAGCTAGCAGAGTGAAAAGAAGGCAGCAAAACGCGTTCGTGGTATGAGAATAAGAGGCGACGCGTGCATGTCTCACATCATCACGCCTATTACTTACCTAAATCGAAATTACTACCATATAAGGTAAATCTCGCTTTTTAAATTCAACCTGTCCCTACCACATACTCGTTAGTAT